GGGGGGGAAAAAAAACTTGTCAATAAAAGGCAGCAGTTGGTCACCTGGAACAGTGCGGCTGAACTCACAGTATTTGACACCAAATACACTTCGCCTCCAGCTGCCACCTCCCAGGCCAGGCCTCTAGCCCACCCTCCATACTGATGCTAGCTCTAGGCACTCCACTCCCCTACAGAACCCCCTGCAGTGCCCTGCTGCCCCAGGACCAGGCCAGACCCTGACTCACGGACACACCCTCCCCCATCTGGTGTTCTTTTTGGCTGAGCTATCTGAAAGAGCCTTTGCTACCCTGTGTCCATGCGGCAAGCCCCATCTATCCTTTACTATCCTCAGCTATCATGATTACAAAGGCTTTCCACTTCAGCCCTGCTGGATGGTCTCCACCAGCTTCTGTGCAAATTCCCTATCTTGTACGTTAAATCATTTAACAAATAATTATTACGCACCTAATAGATGTCAGGCATTGGGCCCAAGGAAACAGGAAGAGCGATACTGACAAGATCCATATGCCACACTATGCTTATCACACTGAACTGTAATGATTTCTGGGCTATCTTTAAGACGGAAGTCACGTTCTACTTATTTCAGTATTGGTAGCCCTTAGCCCAATGCCTGGCACTTAGTATGTATCCAGTGGACATTTTTGTGATTGTAAAAAATAAGGTTCCAACTAGCTGCTAATCAGCTTTTACAAGTAACTTAATAATGACAAAAGTAGCAGGCATTAACATTTATTGAGCATCTACTATATTATCAGGTATTGTCCTGACCCAATTACATGTATTATTTAATTTCCAGAACATCCTATGAACAAGATGTTACACAGCTCCCACTTTACAGAGAAGAAATCTGTGGCTCTGAGAGGCCAAACATCTAAAGAACACGTACACATGGGCTGTCTAGTAAAGATCTCCACAAAGCTGGGAATGTCTTCGCATGTGCTGTTCAATACAGTAGCCAGTGGCCACACGTGGCCGTTCAGTGTTTGAAACGTGGCTGGTGCAACCAAGAAAAGGAATTTTGAATTGTATTTTAATTCAATTTAATTTAATTTAATTTGATTTAGTTTTTGAGACAGAGTCTCACTCTGTCGCCTAGGCTGGAGTGCAGTGGTGCAATCTCGGTTCACTGCAACCTCTGCCTCCCGGGTTCAAGCGATTCTCCTGCCTCAGTCTCCTGAGTAGCTGGGATTATAGGCGTGTGCCACCACACCCGGTTAATTTTTGTATTTTTAGTAGAGACAGGGTTTCACCGTGTAAGCCAGGATGGTCTCGATCTCCCAACCTCGTGATCTGCCCTCCTTGGCCTCCAAAAATGCTGGGATTACAGGTGTGAGCCACCACACCCGGCCCCCACATTACTCTCCTGTGGTCTCAGCTATAAAATTACCAACATGGATGTGTTCCATAGCACTTCCTGGGACCTACCTGTATGCCAAGAACCACACTGGACACTGCAGGAACTATCAAAGAAAGCCATCACAGAGCTCCTGGAGGAGAGGGGAGCCCAGGGGGTGCTATCTTCAAAGGCAGAAAGGACATTTCTGTGTGCGCTATCAACATAAGCAAGAAAAGAGGGACTGAGCATAAAGTGACCACAGGTTAGAGGAACTCCAGATCACCAGGACAATATGATAGAGTTTATGGAAGGCCACTTTTAGCCACTTTTTTTTTTTTTTTTGAAACAGGGTCTCGCTCGTGCAGTGGCACGATCTCGGTTCATTAAAGCCTCGACCTCCCAGGTTCAAGCAACCCTCCCACCTCAGCCACCCAAGTAGTTGAGACTACAGGCCTGTACTGCCACACCTGGCTAATTTTTACATTTTCTGTAGAGATGGGGTTTTGCCATGTTGCTTAGGCTGGCCTCAAACTCCTGGCTTCAAGCTATCTGCCTGCCTTGGCCTCCCAGAGTGCTGGGATTACAGGTGTGAGTCATGGCACCAGGCCCAAGCTAACTTTCAAGAATGTAGCTACTGCATTAGGTAGAGGGATCCTGCAGAAGGAAATAAATCCATTTACTTAATTAGCAGTCACTACATGATCTGAATCATGTAGCACAGTCTATGAAAAGTTGAGACTCCATGAACATACCAAACAATAGTGACTTGTACTCTTTAAGTGGATAAATTATATGGTATATGAATTATAGTATTTTTTAAAAAGCTAGTGAAAATTAGTAACAAAATATTCAGCCAATCCGAAATCCATTTTTTTCTTCTTTCCACCCCCTTACCCCCCACATCACCAGTCAGCATCTGTTAACAATCTGAAATCTTTTTATTCTTTTTGTTTGACACACAGTCTCACTCTGTCGTCCAAGCTGGAGCGCAGTAGTGCAATCATGGCTCACTGCAGACGCAACCTCCTGGGCTCAAGCAATCCTCCCACATGAGCCACGCAAGTGGCTGGACTACAGGCATCAGCCATCACACCTAGCCATCAATATAAAATCTTTTTTTTTTCTTTTTTTTGAGACAGGGTTTCACCCTGTCACCCAGGCTGGAGTGCAATGGCTCAATCTTGGCTCACTGCAACCTCCGCCTCCCGGGTTCAAGCAATTCTCCTGCCTCAGTCTCCTGAATAGTTGGGATTACAAGCATGAGCCACCACGTCTGGCTAATTTTTATATTTTTGGTAGAGACAGGATTTTACCATGCTGGCCAGGCTGGTCTCAAGCTCCTGATCTCAGGTGATCCGCCTGCCTTGGCCTCCCAAAGTGCTGGGATTACAGGTGTGAGCCACTGCACCCGGCCTAGCAATCTAAAATCTTAACAAGAAAAGTAGTACTCAGAAAAACACCTTGAATCTTCTGTGGAATGATTGCAAACATATATCTTAGAACTGATGAAATAAAGGCTGAGGAGTGAAATTTGGGCAGGCCTACTTGGGAG